AGGTCGATGCTGGGGTGGCCATGAATGTGCCACTGCACTCCAGCCTGGGTGACAGAGTGAAACTTCAACTCAAAAAAAAAAAAAAGAAAGAAAGAAAGAAATGTATCCTCCTGGTGTTAATGCTTAAAACTTACTTTGTCTTATCTGAGTTCTTTTCTCAGAAAACCAACCCTCAGGCCTACAGTATCAAGAAACCAAAACTCACTACATCACTGCATATATACAATGAGATGCCAGACTCCTCCTGTTTACCAGCTTCTCTTCCTTACCCCCTCCAATTTCTCCCTTCCTCCATCCCATCCTCTTCCCCTCCCTTCCTTCCTTCCTTGTCAGGGCCTCTCACTCTGTTACCCAGGATGGAGTGCAGTAGCTTGGTCTTGGCTCACTGCAGCCTCAAACTCCTGGTGATCTCTCAAACTCAGGTGATCTTTCTGCCTCAACCTCTCTAGTAGCTGAGACTACAGGTGCTGCCACCACACCAGGCTAATTTTTTACTTTTTGTAGAGATAAGGCCTTTTTGTGTTGCCTAGGCTGGTCTTGAACTCCTGAGCAATCAGTTCTCCCACCTCAGCCTCCCAAAGTGCTGGGATTACAGGTGTGAGCCACTGCACCTGATCACCCCTTCCCAATTTCTATTTACCAACTTCTCTCCCTTACCCCTCCCTAATTCCTGTTTTCTACATTCCTGCCCCACTATAATAAACCTCTGATATCAGTGGGACAGGGAGATGGATTTGAGAACCAATTGCCCATTCTTCTTGACTGATATCAACCAAGTAAAAAGGCTTCCTCCCTGGCAAAACTCAGCTCAGTGATTCGCTTTCTGTGCAGCAAGCAACAGGACGCTGATTGAACTGCTGGAGTTTCAGTGACACTACCAATAATACTGTTATTCTTTATCTCCACTGTAGCATTCACTATGCATTTATTGAGCACCTACTCTGTGCCTGGCAATACTCTAACTACTGGGGATACAATGATGAACAGGAATGATCAGGTTCCTACTTTTGGGGACTTACATTCTTGTGGAATAATACACATCACCTGTTTTTGTTTTAGTATCTGTCCCCGCATTCTTCACCTCCCAGATTGGAGCTTTTTGGGGACAGGTTGTCCGTTTTTTATTGCTTAGTGTCATGCCTGAGCACACAGAAGTTAGTCCAGGAATGAAGAATAATGACTTCTCTCACACAACCTCAATCTGCTCCTATATCAGGTCTTTGTGTGTGACTTCCTTCAAATACCCCATTGTTCCTCTTTCCTCTCCAAAACCAACCAATCTTTTTGTGACCCTGTTTAAGTCTCATCCCCTCTGGGAAGTCTTTCTTGGCTTTGAGTGATCTTTTTCAGCACCACAGTTTCTTGTTTTCTTCTCATTGTTTCTGGCTTGAAAAATGTACCTTAACCATAAGGTCCTATTTCTCTGGTGTACATTTGTCCAAAGGCCCTACAGCAGTGCTGAGCACACAGGAGGTGCTCAGGAAACACTTGCTGATCAGTTTTCTTTTCTTTTTTTAAATTTAAAAATATAGTTTAAGCCGGGTTCGGTGGCTCAGTCTGTAATCCCACGCCATTGGAGGGCTGAGGTGGGTGGATTGCCTGAGCCCGTGGGTTCGAGACCCGCCTGGACAGCGAGACCTCATCTCTACAATAAATCAAAAAATCAGCCGGGTGTGGTAGCGCATGCCTGTAATTCCGGCTACTTGGAAGGCTGAGGCGGAAGGATCACCAGAGCCCAGCAGGTCGAGGCTGCGGTGGCCGGAAGAGGCCACTGCACTCCAGTCTGGGTGACAGAGTGAGACTCCAACTCAAAAAAAAAAAAAAAAAAAAAAATATATATATATATAGTTTATTTAAAAGTCAATTAGAGAGAAAGAGAAGATTCACCTCCCTAAGGTTGGGAAGGGAGCTAAAACCAGGAAGCATGGCAACAACAGAGTCTAACAAGGCAA